TCATGTTGATCTGCTACTTCTGGCACAGAGAAAGAGAAATTTTCCCAGGTGCAGAGTGGTGCAGGGAGGTGCTAGCTTGCTGTACTCGTGGAGAAGAGAGTGGAGAAGCAATAATTGACAGAAGTTTATGCTTGCTGCTTTCTTATTTATTGCTTAGTCGGGAGCATTTTGGTCTGTTACTTCCATGGATTTAAGCCATGTTCGCTTGATCTTATTCAGAACTATTTTTAAGATATAAAATGGTATTTTTCTCTCATAATATTTCAGCATAAATATCAGCATAAACCAAATTTTAGCATTAGTCAGATGGCTAAAGAACGGAAGAACAATCAAACAAAGTGAATGTGGACTGAATTTTTTTCCTGCTAGTGACTTGCATCTGGACTTGTTTATGCTATTAATAATGATGTTACGAAATTTACTGAATTGACTCACGTATGAATAAAGGGTGCCCTGTCATTTTCTTGCAACGAGCCTGTTCGCTGGTTGGTTTCTGGGCTGATAAGTCCGGCTAGTGCTGGTTTGTTGTGAGAGAAAAATACTGTTGGCTAGCTGATAAGCTCCTGGCTGAAACCAACAAACGAACAGGCTGAATGTCTTCAAATGGACATGGGTGCTCAGGTTTATCAAATATGCAAAGCAAAGATGCAGTGTCTTGTTGGCCGTGATATGTTGGCTTGTGATCAGCTTGTGTAGTTTTGAGCAAATCATGCAAATTACGTGCCATTTTTTTTGAGCATCTAGTGTATTGAATGGTTTCCGGTGGTTGACGATTAATGTGTTTGGTCAAAAACGCCGACATTGATGATTCAAAGAAAATTACATTCATCTTGTTTATATTTAATCTCATTGTACCAAAAGAAGAACAAAATAGCGTACAAAGATTTTGTTCATACTTGATCATTAGAAACCTACCGACAACATCCTGTCCATGGGTTTTTTTATCTAAAAAAAATCCTGTCTATGGATTGTTCATGCCTGCGCCACCGACCTGGAAGGAAAAGGCTAACACATCCTTTAGAAGGCTTAGCAGTTAGCACGTTAGAAAGTCCCCATCGAGTCTAGCAGTAAAATTGTTTCCTTCCGACGATTTGCTCTGGCTGCACTGCCGCACAGGGAAGGATTGCTTAGTACGCGGTGTGTGACATGGATCGATTGGTTATTAGCTAGGGACACCATCCGGAGCTAGCATTTCCCGTGGGGAATTCCGGTGGGTCTGATTCTATGGGAGTACTACTAGGCACGTAGTTGAGCGCTACGTACATTATGTGTATAGCTTAGCATACTTGACAGGTTGCCATGCACATTATACAGCATTCAAGATCCAAGGCGGTATATTAAAACTACCATTAAGGGCGCTTTGGAGGGGCTCCGGCTGGCTCTCGCTCCGTCACTGTAGCACTACTGTCAAAGAGTTTCAGTCGTTCGTCGTCCTCAGCTCCTGCTTCCTGCTTCTTGATCGATCGATAGCTGGATGCATGGACGCTAGAGCTGCCCGACGAACCAAGGGGCCGTATCAGACTGCTGGTGGCACCATATCTCGATGGGCAGGCCCTTGCTGAACTCCACGTACGGGTGTGCCATCGGGACGTCCTCGCCGTCCAATCTCCAACTGTACTGGAGCACGAGGTGGTGGAGGAAGAAGGCAGCCTCCACTTCTTGCCTGACGACGTCTGGTCCAGCCCCTGCAATGCAAATAAATAACGAACTCATCGCATCAGTAGCTACGGAGTACTGGGATCGATCGAATCGATCAAACAACACGTTTCATAAGTGCGTGTACCTCCCATCTGCAAGGATCAAATTCTTGGGGGTTCTTGTAGAGCGCAGGGTCCAGATGAACGGAGCCCAAAATTGGCAGCACTTTCCAGCCAGCTGGGATCACATACCCTGCCAAAACAAAGTACAATAGGGATTAGGGACACTGGAACAGACATATCCTCTCGCAGCATATACTGATTTTACAGTCATTGGGAGGCACCACACAACCAGTAATAGATACCACAAAATTAAGGAACAGTGTAATAATCCTCCCATCATGGCAAAGTGTGTTAGAAATGATCATATATATGATCACCCAAAAAAAAAGTATATCCATTTTATTTTACCTTTATATCTGACATCCTTAAGGGCCTTCCGGTGCACAAACTTGACAATGTTACCGCATCTCAACGTCTCGTTGATAACCTGCAACATCATGCAGGCAAATGTTGGGCTGCATTATATTTTAATGCAAGTATATATCGTCGTATGGAGTATCATGCTAACTAAAACAAATGTTCTTTAGATAACACAAGAGGCATGAGTTTGTTTATCGTCCGCTTCTCAACGGAGAGATGAATCAAGCAGCTTACACGTTGGGTATATTCCATCTTCCTGTAGTCCTCAGCGGTCAAGAACTCATCTGTTGCCTTGCTGGACCTTATGCTCTCATGCTCTACCTACATATTACACAAGAAATTGCTCAGTATTGACAGATAAGCCTAGTGCTAAAGCACTTATATCTTATTTTTCCTGCACTTTTTATTTTCCTTGGCTTCCAAACCTAGTGTTATAAATACACTCACTTTAGTGGTTAAATATGCTGTAGCAAATGGGATTCCCTTTTATCTATAAAAGGCAAGGGAGTGTCATTGTAAAAAAATAAGCCATTGCATTTCCATTCAATCCAAGCAGCTAAGGGTCAAGCTGTCCTCTGATAGTTCCAGATCTGAATCTAAGATCCAATCGGACCAACAAGTATATCTTTCAACACAACAGTTTGATCAGCAAACTGATTGTTCACCTTAAAATGCAGGCACCATATGATCCCTGTCGTATAAACGCACCTTCTTGAGTTGCTCCAGACCTTTCGGGAGATTGCCCGACGAAATACACGAGCATGGACAGCAAGACGGAGGTGGTCTCGTAGCCTGCTAAAAGCGAGTCCAGCACGAAGGTGACCTTGTCATCGTGGGACAGCTCGCTATTTGCGATGAGCCCGTCTATGAAAGCAGACTTCCTAAATGACCCATCATCGCCCTTCCACCTCTCGTCCATAATCTCTTCCAAAGTGAGAGATATCTTCCTCCTCGCCTGCTGATAATAGTTCATAAGACTAAATTAAGAGAAGTAAAACTATGGTTTGAGTGGAACAATCCCATTTTAGATAGAGTGGAGCATCATGAGTTCATCCCTCAAATTTGATGGAATAACTACATTCCTCGTACTTATAGGGAACTGCTATATTTAAAGTGACTGAATTTTTAGGAATTTTCAGATAACAATTAAAAGAACAACCCAGAAGGAACAATTAGAAATTTTTTATATAAGAACAATGACAAAATTGCGCCTGCCTGAACAATAACAAAAAATCATACGCCTAAGATATTTGACCACGGATATACTTACTATAGTTACGCAGATATTTGACCACGGATATACTTACTATAGTTACGCACCTCTACAGCTCTGGCATACGGTGTCCCTGGGATGTTGAGAGGGAGAGAGACGAGCCCCTTCATGAAGGTGGAGTAGTGCTCGAGGAGCCTGCGGATGAGCGGCGCCTCCGGGGACAAGCCCACCACCTGCTCCACGATGGCGCCGAATGCAAACTGCATGCCAAGTGCCGGCCAAACATGCATACAAACAACCCAGAGTCAATTCAAGCCAGAAAGAGAGACACGCTAACTCAGAGCTTTGGGATATGATAGAATCTAGGAGTATAGAAAGACCACGCGTGCAGTGCAGTGTGCCAGTGTGCAGACAAAACATGCACACGAGCGGCTACAGCGCAGTGCTGTCCCTTGTCACACGGGATCTTGTCTGGCCGGCCACCGATCTGGAGACCTTGTACAGCCACAGGAGCTAACGCGCCTGCGCAAAGGCTAGCTTAGGGACGGAGAGAGCTGCTGGGACGTCACCTGTTTTGCCTCGTCGCAGAAGGCAGCGGCGCAGCGGCCGCGCCAGGACGCGACGACGGCGCGCGCGGCCCGGTCGACGTCGGCGAGGTAGGCGGGCCGCAGCCCCGTGGAGGCGACGAAGGCCAGCGCCATGCCGCGGATCCGGCGGTGGCGCTCGCCCGTGACCACCAGGAGGGAGGACCCGCCCAGGATGCCGCGGATCGGGCCCGGGTAGCTGCACTGGAACAGCCGCTCCTCGTTCTGCAGCACGAAGTGGTTGAGCTCCTCGTCGCACGACACCACCGTCGGCGCGCCGAACAGGTGTGACTTGAACACCGCGCCGTACCTGCATGCCGGCCGAGCACGGTGGCGCGACAGCGGCAGCGGCGTATGCGTGCCGGCCGCGTGGGAAACGAGAGACCATCATGAGCAACGAAGGACGCATGTACTACTCTGGAACCAATTTAACGATAGATGCTGACTGACTACTAGATAGAATTATTAACGTCCATGCATGTGCATGGTGACGAACTTAACGAACCTGGTGATGTGACTGTGCAAGAAGTCGCCGGTGGTGTTGGAGGCGTGGGGGCGGAGGAAGCCGATGGTCTCACCGACGAGGGGCCAGCCGAAGCTGCCCCTTGGGGCGTCGGGGTTGCGGAGCAGCGGCAGGAAGTGGCGGTACACCACCGCGGCGAGGACGACGGCTACAAAGACAGCCAACAGCACAGTCGTCACCATTGTACACCTTCTAGATGTACAAGTCAAAATAAACGCGGAACTCTAAGATTATCTTGTTGGTGTGACAGAATTGCGGGGAGGGGATGAGACCCCGGCCCTTTTTATACGCGTATCGTATGCATGCTTTTTGGCTGGCTTAACTAATGCTATTTACTCAAAAGGAATCCTTGAGTTTTTACCCTCCAACCTCTACTTATACTATGGCTTATTTCTGGAGATATATCTACACATATATTATACTACATATTTAATTGATTGTATGGCTTACTTCAGTAGATATATCTACATATTATTTGCAACCTCTACTTATACTATGGCTTATTTCTGGAGATATATCTACACATATATATTATAGTATATATTGATTGATTGTATGGCTTACTTCAGGAGATATATCTATATATTATAGGAGTATCATGCTAACTAAAACAAATGTTCTTCAGATAACACAAGAGGCATGAGTTTGTTTATCGTCCGCTTCTCAACAGAGAGATGAATCAAGCAGCTTACACGTTGGGTATATTCCATCTTCCTGTAGTCCTCAGCGGTCAAGAACTCATCTGTTGCCTTGCTGGACCTTATGTTCTCATGCTCTACCTACATATTACACAAGAAATTGCTCAGTATTGACAGATAAGCCTAGTGCTAAAGCGCTTATATCTTACTATTACTGAATTTTTTACTTTCCTTGTCTTTCAAGTCTAGTGTTATGAATATGCTCACTTTAGTGATTAGAATATGTTGTAGCAAGTGGGAGTCTCCTTTGTCTATAAAAGGCAATGGAGTGTCATTGTAAAAAAATAAGCCATTGCACTTCCATTCAATCCAAGCGGCCAAGTTGCCCTCTGGTAGTTCCAGATCTGAATCTGAGATCCAATCGGGCCAACAATCTGGTATCGGAGCCGAGAGGATTCTTGAGTGAGCGAGCACCATGTCCACTGTCAGCCAGGTCATGAGAGTGCACACTGCCGCGGGTGCCAGAGCTAACGATTGCGCGACGCGCCTTGCTGCCGCAGAGGCAACGGCTGCGGCGGCGGCCGAGACGGCCAGGCAGGCGACGGCTATGGCCTAGGCCGTGGTAGCCGCGGCCGCAACACTGCGCGCCGAGATGGAACGCGAGCCAGAGCTAGCGGGGAGGATCGCGCAGCTCGATTTCGGGCGCGCCGCCTGTCGTCGTCGTCACCAAAGCGGCGTCGTGGTGGGCGTGGCCGCTCCCTAGTCTTGCGCAGACGGTCTCATCGCGACTCCAGAGCAGGAACGCCATGGCCGATGCTCACCAAGTCGAACTACCACGCAGTGGAGCTCGCGATGATGGTCAAGTCTGAGAGGCCCGACGGCCGTGGGAGCGGCCGGTTCACGCCGGTGGCGTCGACTATGACGACGATCGCCAGTGTTGGAGGCGTTAGCGCCGCCGTCCCCATCGAGCTCGGCGCCTCCCCCGCCAACAAGGCTACGATAAAGCTAGCATGGGAATCAATTGCCGCGGCACGCATCGACGGAGATCGCATGCGCCGGGCGATGTTGCAGCGCCTCCTAGAGGAGAGGGAAGGCCTCGTCTTTCAGCCTGGTGAGCAAGTCGAGGACTTTGCCCTTCGTCTTACCAATCTGATGGAGCAGATGGCGCAAGAGCGGCGACACCGACCTCACGGAGGAGCGTGGTGGAGAAATTCCTCATTGCATGTCGAAGAAAACGCAGCAGATCGTCAATTCGATTGAGACACTCCTCGACTTGAGCATCTCACCATCAAGGATGTCACCGGGGAGGCTTGTCGGCATGAAAACGCCGCCTCGTGCGGGATACACGAGCAAGCTAGAAGAGTGCGCCGATGGAGCTGTAGATCGACCTAGCTTCCACACAGGGGCAACCGATCCTACGTACTCCTCCCGAGACGTGCCAGTCAATTTGACCCTACAATTGACAAGGAGAGAAAGTTTATCAGTAATTTAAGGTGGAACATGCCGGTGCTGTGCCTGCATAGCCCAAGTGTGTCGCTTCGGGAGCAGCCAGGGGTGATAAGCGACTAAATAGCCGATCCGCAAAGAAATCGACTGTTACGGACTATAAAGCTCGTGGGTAGCGATTAATTTCAAGTTGGCAGGTACATTACTCGTATATGTAAATAAGATCATCAGCTAGGTAGATATTACCAGTGTAAAGCGTTAAGCCGATGAATCTAATCAGGAAAAGATATAGTATGCGAATGAATTGACTATTTGATACGAACAGATCTACAAACGCTCTGAATCTAATCCGTTACCATCAACAATGAGGTTTGACCGGATCGATGGCAGCTATGATGATAGTAACAAACTAAAACCGAAGAATCCGTAAAAAGATCCGTACTTCGACAGGCTTTCCGAAAGACATACTATACGTAAAGGCTCGGATGATAGCCGATTCAGGTGAAGAGAACTGCAGCGTGTAGACAATCGACTATTTCACTCGGATAGACCTATAGACTTCTCAGACCTAACCTGCTATCTCTAATAGTGGGGTTCGACCGGATCGATGCAGCCGTGAAAAAGACAACAAATCAAACCTTTAAAGCCAACAGATCTATTCGCGCTTAACAGAATCATGTAAACACACTGTAGGCGTTAACATACAGGCGATCGGCTTTTTAGCCGATGTAGGCATAGCAAACAGTTAAGGTTACGCTTGATCGAGAACAAATCTACTGCCTAGCATCCTCCAATCTAAAGTGCTATCAGTGGGGATCGACCGGATCGTTACAGCCATAATAGTGAACCGTAGATTAGATTTAACCAGCCAGCAAACCTCTCCAAGATCATTCATGCCTTAACCGCGTACTATGCACGATCAAGATCGAAACAGAACAGCCGATAAAAACAAGATCCGTCGTTCAAAGTAAGAGATATCGTGGTATAACAAAGCAAACGACGGACTAAAAAGATATGAGGCCAATCTAAATCGATCTTGACCGGGCAGGTTGATGTTGCTGCAAACTAATGACAATGAAAATATCAGCAAGATCGGTAACTTAATGAATCTACCAAAGACTGCCATTCTTAGGTAGAGCCGATAACTTGACCTTAATCTAGTTCGAGCAGTGGAGGTCGACCGGATCGATGCAGCCGTACTTGAACTAGACAAGAGTTGATAACTAACTTATACCAGAGTCGCAGTGGAGGTCGATCGGATCGATGCAGCCGTACGAATAGAAGTATAAGCCATGACGGTACTTACAAACGAACCGAAGGTCGGCGGGATCGATGCAGCCCTGCTCGCTGAAGAACTCATCGAGATCTACTCTACTCCTACTCCTAAGGGGTGGCCGGAGCCAAAAAAAATGAAATGACTTGTATTTGATTGGTTGTCTCCTTTACAATAGCCGGGGTTCAATATTTATACCTGGAGCCTAAACACGAATCCTACTTAAGTACGACTCGGTACAATCTTTGGTATGAAGAAAACATTCCTATCTTAAGATAACTTGGACCCTAATCTTTTCCCTTTTGTAGAGTTCGATATGTATCTTCCCGACGCTAATCGTAGCTCATCATCGTTATCTGCCGACGTCATTCAAAGAGAGCTGATTCTAGTGTCGCATCCAAACCATCTGATATCAATTCTCATGCAATCAATTCCTTGATTGACACAATCTTGGAAGCCTTCGAGTTCCCATGTTCTTCTCTCAAATTTTGGTGTAAACACATGCCCCCCAATTTTGGGATAAAAGTAATTTTATTTCAAAATTATCATATCTGTACCCCTGATAGGTTCGTAGTCATGGGTGGAGAATCTTGATCTGGGGTCTACTGTTTGTCACCGTCTTTGCCAGCTCATGAGCCCATGCTTCAAAACCTTTACAAGAGCGCCATTGCTTCATGGGCACTTGGATTTATCTTTCTAGGCCGACTATAAAATGTCTATCTGATTCTAGTGAGAGCAATTCAACAATCTCAGCTAGGTCTGTCTTCTGCCTGCTTCCTCAAGTGCCTCTGGCTCCGTCAGACCCTCCATGGTCTAATTCTTTGCTACAAAGATCTTGAGCGGTTAGAAGAATTCTTGTGCATAGGATGATTGTGTCGCTCATCTTAGCGCCTTGTTGAGCAAGAGGATCAGGTACTGCAGTTAGAAGAATTCTTGTGATATCACCTAAGTCTTCTCTCCATGCTCGCAGAGCTATTCTAGTGTTTGCAAGGGCTCAAATGTGTGGACACCTTCCCCTCGTTCGTTTCATCAAATGCTTGTCGGGAGAACCACAGACTTCTTTCCCACAGTTTTCCTAGCCACCGAGAAATAGGCATCTTTTAGTAGGCGGCTTTCATTGTTTCCCAGTCACCGAGAAATCAATTGGGCATCTGCTAAGCGGGCGGCCTTTCCTCTTCTTCTAATGCGATTTTACCAACGGGCCGATGTGACTCAGTTCATGATGACCTTCGGCCTTGGGGGGATCCAGACTCCCTTCAATCCAAAGAAGCCTTGGTGGGTTTATCACTAGTCAATGTAATCCTTTCATATCCATCCCATGATATTTTGTAATTATGGGAAGCAATAAGTTCGAATCTGTTATCTCTTCGTGATCCATCCCCAAATTTCTAGAGTGTTGATTCATTTCCATATCTGACTTTAATTCCATAACCCTAGTGAAGTCTATATTCACCTTCCCGAGCTATATATACGGGCCACGGCTGTGGATTGAAAAACAAACTGCCTCGTCTTAAACCTTTCGCATCTTCTATACAATTCTGCTTTCCCATAGGTTTGAGGTCATGGAGAATAGCAAGAGGTCTACTGAGGAAGCCCTCAATGGATTTGCGTCATCACGCCAGCACCTTCGTCATCGGGAGGGTGCAACTCGGGATGCCCCTACCGTCCCGGAGCATAGGGCCAACTCTGCTCAGCCTTTGGGGTCATCTTTGTAAACAACTCGCCACCAGCTCCCCTGCTATCTCGAGGAGGTAGATCGACAACGACGATCTGCTCGCCTCCATCGATCGACATGGCCAGAATCTCGCCGACTGCCTCTCCCTTGCAGAATTGGCTCTGGCTATGGTTCAATGTCGATCGCCTCCCGAAAGTCGACCCGGTGGAGGATAGGTTGGCCTAGGCCAAGGCCAGAATAGCCAATGAGACATCTACCATAATTTTCTATCTCTTCTTAACTTCGTCTCCAAGATCCTGATCATTCCTCGTTTGAATTTTTTAGATCTATCTGCTTAGCTAGAAAGTCTCCGGTTAGCTGTGGATTACACGGTGGGATTCGTCAATGCCAGAGGCATCGTTCCGGTGGTTCGCCTGCACGACATCCCGAACCATGTCAGGGACGTCGCTCCGCATGGTGTTCATCATGGTGCTGCTATGGCGTTGGCTGCTGCGCAAGCTCGTTCTGGCCACGAGCTTCGGCTTCTTCCCCATGGTTTTCCAGCCGCGGCACATCCTGGAGATCACGAGCGCCTGGTCGAGGATTTCTTCGATCGCGCCAACTCTGTATCCTTTACTACCCAGGCCGAGGACATAGTGAACAAAGTGTTCCCCGACCTTTAGTCTGTAATAGGAAAAGCTGGCAAACAATTTCTTTGCTTTAATCGGTTTCTTGCACTTATATTCCATGTCTCAATATGTGCTCGTT